TACATAGCCAGTATTTTGTTAGTATGTATCGCAGCCATTAAGAAATTACACGAATTTCGATCTTCAGCAAGGCAAAAGTGCAACTGTTATATGGCCAAGAGATCGAGATCGCTGAAAGGGCAAACACTCTTCAGTTTGTACGCCCGAATACTTGACTTGGCTGTGGATGTGGATGTGGAGTAGGAGAAGTGGAGGGGGTGAATGACGGCTGAGACAATGCCGGATGATGATCTGCCAAGATCCAGATGCAGATCCAGATCTTCACAAGGAGCCAGTGAGCAATTCATTCATATTTGTATTTACTTAACTCGCCGATGACGATGATGATGATGATGATGATGGTAAAGAAGATGACTTGCAACTTAACGAGAGATGCTGAATCTGTTGCCTTTATGCCCTCATATTTTTCCACCGATATGAAAGGCCCACGGTCTTGATGTTTTATGGGACGCCCGTTGGCCGTGTAAATGGAGTTTCGACAGCCTAATTGGAGATCAACGCAGTATAATTGTCTGGATGCCCGATTGCTGCTGCTGCTGCTCCGGCTTCTGATGATGAAGTCGTGGCCCGAGAACAGGTGAATGAATTTGTGACAGCCGCACAAAGGCAAATGATGTATTGATAGCATCTGTTTTTGGGCGGAGAAGAAGCCGGAGAAGTTGGAGAAAAACGGCAGCCAAAGCGGCAGGACGTCTGCATTGTGAGTCAAAAAGTCTGGACTTTTATGCTGATGCTGATGCTGATGCCTTTGTTGCCATTTTGGCTGCCAGTTGTTATTATTGTGCCTTTTTGGCTTTGTGGCTACCAGGCCTTTCCTTTGTGAAAGGACAAATGCAAATTGAAGGCTGTAACTTTTGTTACAATTTGTTTTCTCTTTAATGATCTGTTTCAGATTAACACAAGGGCCCTTTTCAACGCTGTTTTTGTGTGTTTTGTGTGTCTTTTAGATGAATAAACTCATGATGTATGGTTCAAAATAGGTCGTTTGCTTGGAAAAGAATTGTTTTACTTCGTAAAATAAGGTGATTTTTTTTAAATTGAATTGCAGCTTACTAGAAATATATTGTGTTCTTTACAAACATTTTTTCCGTGTTTACAACAATTTTTTTAATAGCATTAATATTTATTATTTAATTATTTTAGTTTGACGATAAAATATTTAAAAAAATATATGATCATATGATAAGAAATATATTATATTCTATAAAATACACTTTCCGTATTGAAATATTTTTTTATATTTTTATGATCAATATAATATAGCTCGCGATAATGGTAGTGCGATAAAAAAAATAATATTGCAATTACAGAGTCTTTCAGCGAAAAATGTACTTATATGAGAATTTCTATTCCCTTTTTTTGGGATAAATAAAATTATGAAGTTGATATAAACTTTTAGAACTTTTTTAAGGAAAAGAAAAAAAGTAAAACAAAAAATCCTTCGAGCCGGATTTGAACCAGCGACCTATGGATGTCTACACTCGTACGCTCGTAATGCCAATCTACAGTCCACCGCTCTACCAACTGAGCTATCGAAGGTCTATAAATGGCTCGCTGCAAAACGAGTTCATAAACAATCCGAGTGAAAGACAACTTATCAGCTGAGACAAATTTAAGTGGTGTGCGGTGTGGTGTGGTATTTTGATGGTGATTTCGGGGGGAAATGAGCTTTACTTTATGCAGAGCCAGCAATGAATATCGACTGTGAGAGCCGATTGTATTCGGATTTCTTGTTTTTTTGTTGTTTTCGTTTGTTTTTCGGCCAGATGAAAGGGAGGCGCCGGGTGTAAACACAGACAGTGCGTATCGGGGGCGACTATTAACGTGGCCACCTAGTAAACGCCGGCCGTGAGTCATCTCCCCGGGGAACCAAAATATATAGGCAGCATCGCCTGTGGCCTGGGCATTCGGGACTCAGACCAAGAGAATCATGCCACAGGCGCGCAGAAGACACGATCCGTCTTATCAGGCAAGTGGCCAGCGGTCCAGCGGTCCAGAAGTCCAGAGAACTTAGCCGGAGGCCTAGGAGCCCCAGAACCCAGTGTCCAGAGCCCAGAACCACGAAATATCGCAGCGGCAGCACTCGGACAAAGTGTGTTCCCGATAAGCCACAGGGCAATTTTTGACGGCCCAAAGGCACGACAAGACGAGGGGAATACTTAACAAACCAATTTGGATGCCAAAAATGCGGCAAGTCATAAAAACGAAATCCGAAAGCGGCCACCAGACCAATATCGTCTTATCTATATAAGTATATCAATTAGGGATGGCAGCGTGTTAAACAGTGTGGAAGCTGTACTTTATATGTTAAAAAAATTCAACAATTTAAAGGAATTTTCATGTCAAATAACTTAAAACTATAAAAATGTTAATTTAAAAATATTATGAACTACTAATAATTCAAAATGAGCAGCTGACACAAATTAGCAAATAAATTAAAAAAAATTTTGTGTTACTTTTTTTGGAAATATATTAGATTATAATATAATAATATAATATATAATAATATAATATATAATAATATAATATATAATAATATATAATTATATAATAATATATAGATTAATATGATTATGTTTAGATTAGTTTTATTTTTGGAGTGTTAAATATACAAGAATTAACATAGAAACTATTTAAATATCGCAAATATTATGTTATTGTTTTTGATTTCCATTAATTTATTATATATTTGGAAGAAAAATTTAAATAGTTGTACTCCCCTTTAAAATATTTTAAAATTTCAATAAATTTTAAAAACTTATATGGAAATGCTTGTGTTAGAAAAATCAAAATCTTTGGGCTGCCATCTCCAATATTCACGTACGATGGTTAATAAAAAAGGTTAGCCAAGAAGTGCATCAGAGGAAGCGGAGCGAAAAAACTGACAGCTTACGGATAATTACCGACGAAAACACACAGATGAGGGGACGCTGGGATAAGGGGATGAGAGGGGCAGGTGAGGCTGTGGAAATGAGGGACAGGTGAGCGGGAAAGCGGTAGAGCGGTATGGCTAAGCGCCATGAGCGGCGACCCGTTTGTGATCCATTGAGCAAGGTTTTCGGGGCTGCGAGTGTGCGTGTGTGCGTGTGTGGATCGATTGCTCAAAACGTCTTGTTAGATAAGGAAAAATGATTCCCGCGGCGAGGGGTCAGTTGTGGCTGGGTTAGTTATTCGTAATTTGCCCAGGTATGTTACAACAAATGTTCATAATTTTTAAGAATGACTCTCGGCTTAGTTTCTCCTTTTTTTGAATTTCTACCCAGTTTTTGCTTATCAGCGGTCTTCGATCTTGGAATCGTCGGTGAGGTCTCTTGATCTCAGTATCAATTTCCCGCTATGATTGAATGAATTTTTCTCAAACCCAATATGTGGGCGTTGTCCTATCGCTTTAAAAGATCTAGCTTGGCCCAGGAAAAATTGCCAAGTTCCTAGGAAAAACCGATCACTATTTTGGCAAGGCGTTAGACCCCTGAGCGGACTTTATCTCCATCACCAGTCACCTTGTGTGTGGCAATTCAATGGCTCTCAGGCTTGTTTTCCGACCGCCCGATGATGAGTCATTTAATTGAGCCCAAAAAATACACTTTGCCACAGAGCATGGGATGGGGTAAATTAATTTACTCTTCCGATAAACCCGAACAGAATCCCCGAATGACTCATCCTCAACATTCTGGCGACGAAATTGCATCTCCCTCCTGATTTTCATTTCATTTAGTTTTGTAATAGCATTTAATCGACGAAGCTATTAATAGACTAGGGTCACATCTGGATTTTAAAACTACAGCTGAGTCTACGGCAATCCCCATTCTTATCAGTAATCTACTGAAACCGGCGGCATAACTTTATAGTGCTATTTATTTTCTATACATATATATATGTACATACATACATTTAATTTATATTATGACTAATTTTAAAATGTCATACTTTTTATTTGCAAGCATTATTCACTTAGCATAATTAATTTCTTCCTAAATGAATATTTTTTCAAAAGTTTATAAATAAACATTATCAGTCTTTATTTAAAACCATTTCACACTGTTGTGTAATTTCATTCACTTGACATTGATTTAAACAATCAACGGAGGACAAGTTGAATTCTTTGTTGACCTGAAATGTGGAATAATTAATATTTATTACCCGCCCTTATCAGCATCAAAGTTCATTCAGCTGTTTGAATAGTTTTATTCCAGATTCCAATCATTTCATTTGCCAGCAATTTGTTACGTTTCAGACAGTTCCAGAGAAGTTGATATGCATGCAGATCGTTATCATCCGTTTCGAACTGGCTCATTTAATTAACAAATTACCCGTAGTGCTGCGATTTCACAGCTGGTTTTCCACCTCTCCACTGATTTTCTATGAATTTAGCTTATAATCTATAGAGTGAAGCGCTTTGGCACTCGTTTCTTATCAGCACGTTTTTGGGGTATACCTGTGACAGTTTTGTTTCTGTTTTTAATGCTGCGATAAGCGTTTTGCCATTGTTTCCGTTTTTTTTTTGCTGAGCACTTATTGAATTAAATTTGATAAGCTGGCAAAATTTTAAATTGGCACCTGTGTTGACAACGCCTTCGATAGCTCAGTTGGTAGAGCGGTGGACTGTAGAAGTGTTCAAAATGCAACGAAAACCTTTCAGGTGTTCGAAATCAGCAGGCATCCATAGGTCGCTGGTTCAAATCCGGCTCGAAGGATTTTTTTCATTTTAGTTTTATGGGCTCAAAACAATTAAATCATTATGAAAGTTTTGAAGGTTTTGTAGTAAAACTGAAAACATTTGTTCATAATATTTATAATTCGTCTAAATTGCTTAAAATACATATACGGACTGCTCATATACTTACTTTTTAACAGTAATAACAACATATTTGTCTTCCTTATTGCATATTTTCCCATGTGACACCATTGTTGTTATATTTTCCCAAACAAAACCGTAAATCCAAAATAAACAAACTTCAATAGATATTTTTTTAATAAATTGTTTTTCTTTTATATTTTTCATCTTTCTTTTTCCTCATTGCTCCCGCATCATCATCATCGTCGTCATCAAAAATATGCTTTGTTTTAAATAAATAAAATAATAAAGTTTATATGAAAAAATTACATATACAAATCGTGCTCTGCAACATCAGGCACGAATCGATATTTTCCTTTCAACTTTCATCGTGGGTTTTCTTTTTGTGGGTTTTTTGTTTTGTTTTTGTTTTTCGTTTTCTATTAATTTATCCAACATGCTGAGCTTAGGCGTTAAGTCTTAAATTTCTAAATTAATTAACGTTTACGGATTTATTCGAGCTTAGCTTAGAACGCATAACGATGTAAATAGTTATTCATATATTTATAGAGCATACGTTTTGTTTATACAGTTATGTTTAGTTGAATTCGAATAAAAGTAGTTTCAAATACCCTTTCGTCGATATGTGTGTGTGCGCTTGTGTGTGTGCTTATGGATGAAAGTGTGTGTGTGTGTGCTGGTGTGTGTATTGCATATAAAGTATATAGGTATTTAGTACATATACAAGAGAGTTACAATATGCAATATCGGTTTTTTTGCTACAACTAGTTATGTGTGTTTAGGTTTTGATAGTTCCTAAGTAATTTCAAGTCATTACTCGATTATACTCTCGCTAGTTAATTTACAAATGGTTTGCTTTTTTTTTTATAAAATTATCAATAAAAAAACGGCTAGTAGAATAGTTCTTTCTCCTTTCCACAAACATGTACGTACATAAGATACCAGTTTGTTAAATATATTATAGCATTTTTATACAATTTGTTCAATTGGTCGCACTTATTCTTACTTCTTTTTCAGCAGTAGCAGCAGCAGCAGCGGCTCACACAGATACAAAAGTATCTAATATCTGAAGTATCTGGGGGGATGGGGGCGGCTTCTCAGGGCTGTGGGGAGGGGGCGTGGCATGGCGGCTATTTACAGTGGACGCTGCTTTCACTCAAAATCACTCTGATCTGGTTGGTATTTCCCAGCCTGGCTGGCAAAACTGACAGAGGCTCCAAGGTCGGCGGTGGGTGCTGGGTGTTTGGTGGTTGTTGGCGGGTGGTTCTGTGGCTCTTGGGGGCGTGGCCATGGCTGCCGCTGTTTACTCCATACAATTAAAGTCTAACGATTTACACTTAAAATTCAAATATTCAGTCCATTTTGTTTGCGTTGTGTTTAAAGCATTGACGGCTTGGAACCAAACAGCATTTGATGCTCTCTCGCTCGCGATTTCCACTCGGGTGGTGCTGGTGCTGGTGGTGGTGGTGGAGGTGGTGTTGGCATTTGGGTGGCGAATCTATCGACAGCCACAGCCCACCACGGTCATCTCCTGGTAGTTCTTCAGCACCACCGTACTTTGGTCATTGAGATAGAGCATGGCCACGCTGTCCAGTTGCGTGGGCACGCAGCATGCCTTTGGCACCTTGCCGGGATTCATGTTGTTGACCAGCGTCTGTACCACCGCATGGTTCGTGGAGTTGAGATGGTCGGCCAGCGGAAAGGGGCACTTGCCGTGGCAATAGTACGCATCGTAGCCCAGCGGTGCCACAATCCAATCGTCCCAGCCCACGTCGGAGAAATCCACGTACAGCGAATGCCGCCGGCAGGTGTCATCGTGGTTTTTGCGCCGCGAAGGTCTTCGATTTGGCTGCCGCTTATTCCGGCCGCCCTTGCCACCGCCCTCCGATCCACTCACATCCCGTATGGAGCGCGCCTTGTGCCGCCCATCGTCTGTGTAGGTGAACAGCAGCGGTTGCTTGTGCTGCCACCGCTCGTGCGCCTCGTCCGCGCTGCGGCGCAGGCGTACATGATGATGCGGCGCCGGCTTCAGCGACCGTACCGTTCGCACCTCAACGAGCAGTCCATAGTTGCGCTGCGGACTGGCCAGCCACCGGTCCACGGCCGGCTGGACATCGAGGCTCACCGTGTCCGTGCTGTTCAGCCGGACCGTCTTGGTGTCCAGCAGCAGGTAGCTCGGCTCCCGCTGCCCGCGCACGCCCACCCGCGTGATGTCGTAGACGAGCACCTGGTAGCGGGTGCGGTTCGCACTGGCCAAGGACGACGTCCTGGCCACCACCTGCGCACTGAGCGCATCCCTCGTCAGCTGCAGCTCCGCCGCCTTCAGCTTCTCGTCCGCGGGAATGCTCTTCACGTCGAAGTGCAGCCGAAACCGGTGGTGGTGCGGAAACCGATCGTCGATTTTACTATCTGCAAGAGGGCAAGAGAAAATTATTTCCGGGTGAGTTTTAGATTAAGGAAAGGAAGATTATAATATAAATAATCCTACTTCTGTATAAGTTGTAAGAGAAATGTAATATTATAAATGTAGAGAATACAACAACCAACATTTAATGCAAAACCGTTCCGATATCCGGTTACAATACACCTGGCTTATGGACAAAAAATAAACAACAAATGATTTTAGTGTCTAAAGTAATTTTGTTTTAAATTGGTTATGAAAGCACAATTTTTAAAATCTGGAATATTGATTAAAATTTACACTTTTTAGTAGCACAAAATTTAAAAATAAATAGTGCATATGGGAATAAATTGCTGCTAAAAAAACGACTTTCAGCTGCTTGTTTTATCCTCCTCAAATTGGGATCAGCGAATTAAGCCGGTCGATCCGGTGGATCAAGTGGGGATATAAAGCGGGCTCGGATCTCCGGCCAGATGATTAGACACACCTTCGCAGAGCCTACCTGGTCTACCTGTTGCAGTAAGTAAGTAAGTACCCCCTGCTTAAATACACCCACTACCATGCTCGAGCGGAGTGTGGAAAGTGCAGGGAAATCTGGGACAAAGAAGGTCGAAAATCGCACGTTCCAGTTGTCCAGCCGCCTTTTTACGACTGGCGCCTGTGCTAAAGACCCTGGCCCACCCCGGCCTACCTTTTCGGATCTATCTTTCCCAAATATATATATATATATATACATATACATAAATAGTACAGCAAGGTGCAAACTCTGCACGCTTGCCGACAAAATCTTAATTTGAATCGACGCCGCCGCTGCCGTTTTTCAAGTACCTTCGCTGTGCTCACAAAGAAAAGCGAGTCGTAAATTCTTTTGGGAAGCGAGAATCAAGCGGAGGGATTCGAAAACACACAGATGCGGCCTGAAAAATGCTGGCCAAAACTGAACCGTATCCAAGACAAACTCGACTCGCCAGTCGGCTTAGACACTTGGCTTTAGACACTTGGCTTGGTTTGGTTTTGTTGGTTGGCCATTTGGTTACCTGCTCTAACTGCTTTATTGTCTTCGACCCTATAATCCTGCGGAAAATAATGCGAAATACGCTTTAATAATAATTGTTATTCCTACAAATACAATATAAAAGCCATTTAGCGCATGCGCTAAACGTTCCTGGTGTAATTCCTAGGAAAGATTTCAAGGTCACCGCCGGGCTGTCATCGCCGCAGAGCAGGTAAAAGGACGCTCGTGTCCTTTTAGCTGTTCATTTTGGAAAGCCGTGGAATTTCCGCGTGATTTCACAGCGCTTGCGTGAATGATAGAGCGAAGGATATCGCAGGATTGAAGGATCGATGGCGAGCAGGTATGCAAATCGCTTAGATGAACCAGAATTTCAGGGAAAATCCGAGTCGCTCTTCATTCGCATTTTGGTAGCGGAAAGTCCGCGTTGCAATGAGTGGAAATATATATGGAAAATATAGATCGAAGCCTTTGGCCGAGTGTCGCACTGAGCAGGTGGAAAACACAGGTATAGGAAGTAAGCAAATGGATTTGATTATTTTTGGCAGCGACTTATGTCCTAATAAAATGGGCTAGTTGCTCTCTTTAAATATTGTTAACTGCTTTTAAAATAAACCTATCTCTTTGCTAAAATACAATAATGGATCAGATGTTCTAGATAAACCTGTATGAAATTTATTAGATCAACATTTTTTAAACAAAATGGAAATTTGTCTCTTTCTATAATTCAGATGAAATGGTTATCGGAGAATGGTTTTCAAGATGGCTTTAAAACTGGCCAAATAAAAATGTTACTTGTTAGTAAAATTTTAAAGAAAAAATTAGGTAAGAGTCTGCCTTTCCCTTAATTTATTTTAGATAAACTAACTAGCAAAGGGTATAAAATTATATAAAGGACTATATTTTTAAAAACGTAATATTGATTTTTCGTTAATTAAAATTTCGACTCAGAAAACTTTTAGTTTGTGTAAGAAAATTAATTGTTTTTGTACTTTTAAAGAACTAGTAATTCAAGAAATTAAAACAAGCTGTTTAAATGGCATTTTAAGTTAATGAATATCCTTGCAATGGCTGCTTGTTGCTTAAATTGACGTTAATAAAATATTTTAACTACACTTAAAATATTGCTGAAAATCAATAAACTAAACCAAAACAAATAAAAATTCGTACATATGAAGGTACATTTCCGCTTCCGATCTTTTACCAATAGTGGATATTGAATTCTAAATATACAAGTTGAAATAGATAAAAAAGAAAACTCACCTTTGTGTGTAAAACTTCGCACTGTGTTGGCCGACTTGGTCATCAGGCCCGGCTTGGGTATGTTGACCGAGTCGAGCTCGTGGCCCATGATCTCAGCGTAGAGGCGCTTCATCGGCTCCGGGATGATGATCTTGGAGCGGTCGATCTTGGGCGGCCGCTTCATGTTGAACAGCGAGAGCAGGCTCTTCTCGATCTCGACTAGAGTGGAGGGGTCGGGCTTGAGTTTGTCCTTGATCAGCGCCTCCTTGCTGTAGGTTGATGGGCCCTGTTCGGCGATGATGGCTCCGGCATTGGCCGGCACATTGATGGAGGCCACCTCGCGATCGAGCCCGAGTGTGGGCTCACGCTCCTCCACGAAGATTGATTCAATCGAGGATGATTGATGAGATTCTGTGGACTGGCTGCTGGATGCCTTTGCCTGCTTGTGATGGCCATTGCTGTGGTTATGATGATGGTGCTTCTTCTTGTTTTGATTGACAGCCATTTTGGGTTTGGGTTTGGATTTGGGTTTATTAACTAATTGTTTAGATTTATTTTTGGAATTTTCTAATTGGTCTGTTCTTGGTTTATGCACTTCGTTGAACTGTCGGTTCGCGTCACTTTTGCTAGATTTGTTTTTGTTTTTGTTTTTTGTTTTTCTCAGATGGCTTTTATCACTATCACTGAACGATGATAATTCGTTAAATGGATTAAATGCTTTTGCTAATGCTGTGCTGGTGGATTCGGCACTTGATACTGCTCCACCTGATCCCGATTCCGATGGTGATACCGATTGTGAAGATCCTTCCAAATGAAGAGGAGCTATGGCGGCGACGAATCTCTGGGATATATCCTCGGTGCTAGCAACTCGAACGATCGTTTGAAAGGTCGCCAGCACTGCGAGGAGTAGAAGCCATGCGCGCATGGTCGCTTGCAACTCTGAAACGAGACAAAGAGGAAACCATGGGTTAAAGTCTGGTCGGCAAGGGTTATTCGCTTCGGATTCGGATTCCGATTCAGATTCGGATTCGGATTCCGATTCGGAATGGATCGTATATTCCACTCAATCCGCTCTTGCACTCACACTCAGGCGGCCATGGGTGCAAGCGGGACGACTATAGGGGGTCCAACTCTTTCGTATCTGCCAGATACGTATCTTGTATCTTTATTTTTTTCTCTGTCTCTGTTTCGGTTTCTGGGCGCGCGTGTGTGTGTGTGCGTTGGACGACGTGCGCTGCGCGACTGAACGCTGCTCTTCTTCTTCGGCAGGTAAGCGACGTCGGCAGCGGCGGTAGCTGCGGCAGCGACTGCGACTGCGGCAGCAGCAGCGACGTCGCTTCCTTTTTAGCCCATTTGATGGGAAAGAGAGCAGCGCCGGCCCAAAAGTTTTATGGCCGGGTGAAAGGTTGGCACTATAAAATGGTGGCTCTCTTAGCCACCCTACTGTCACCCAACCACCCTACTACCACCCCTCTCTCTCTCTCACTCTCACTGAGAAGTGTTGCAATCGCAGGCGGACATTGCACCTTTTGCACTGACACACGATCTTTTGGGACCAGCTTTATCGTTTTGTGTCTACGAATAGAAATTCAATACAACCCCCCACTTTTTCGGTTCTTCGGTTATTAGAGTAGCTTCGATCGTCATATTTTCCACTTATCGCATTGGGCGCTTTGATTTACAAACAGGCGGCAAATGCTCAAAAAACCCCAAGACCTAAACTTATCTGGAAAATTTATGAAAATTATTAGAAGTATTCTATATATTTTGGTTATAGGCTATAAATTTCCCAGATTTTATCTCAAGATGAGTTTGAGAAAGGTACGCATACGCACACGCACACACCTAGAACAAATTACATGTTGTTTTTCACATAAAGATTAACATCTTATCTTGTACTAAAAAACAAAAAAATAGTTTGTTATATGACAGGGCGCTTAAGCGCAAAGGGATCTTTTGGTTAAATTGGATTTTCGTTTTTGAAAAGATGGCACACGCTGGGGGGTGCAGCAGAGATCTTGGGCCTATGATAAGGCGACAAGGGGAAATTGGTGGAAATTAGTAGGGGAAAACCGGGGGAAAATCGGGGAAAGGGTGAATGAAATTGAATTTCATAAATACGTTTATGATTTGTTCATAATTTGTTGTTTGTTTTTAATATGTTCCCAGAATTCCATGGGTTGTGGTTGCGTGTGGTTTCAGTTTCAGATTCAGTTTATATGTGTTCTTCACTACCTGCCGCAGATGATGGCCGGTGATCTGGGACAAACGGGGGTTTCCCCTAGACATCCGACATCGATGAATGCCAGGCGCTCTACGGGATTTCCAAGCTCACAGTCCATTCAGTGAAATACGCGCGTTCTAGATACCAGATACTACTCTACTACTATATATCCATAACTCGCACTCAGCTCAATTCAATTCAACTGGAGCTGTGAAATGTCGCAAGCGCCTGCTAAAGTTCAAATTTCAGCTTTTTGTCGCAGCACCAACGACTCCGAAATGTTTCGCAAATTGACACATTTTTGTTATTAACGATTAACGTTTGATTCCGGTTACCCAATACCAGATCGCACACACACACACGCACACAGCCCAACATACTATAATACATATGACATGGACTATAGTAATCTGTGCCGCACAACGTCAGCAATTAGATTGGTTAATAATAAACGCCAACGTAGTCACAAAACCCTTGGACACTCACGCACCCATCGCATACAATAGAGTCAAGGACTATATTCTGCTCGGTTATTTATGTGCCAGGATATATTGACATTTTTGTTTTGTCTTTGCCGCCGCTTTTTATGTTCCCTTTTTTTAAGATTTTAAAGGGTCTCCCATCTATAATATTAGTCGAATATCAGAACGGTACTTTATTGTGCTGACCAACAAAGGACATCGGAGTTCTTGGAATAGGATATCTGACCATGGCACAATACGATTATGATATACGTGGGGAAATATTTTGATTGAGCGTTGTAAAAGATCTATTTAATAACAGGTTGATTTAAGTATAAGACCTTGTTGAACATTTCAGGTATTTTAATTACAGGTTTTTTTACTGGCTTGTTAATATTTTTAAGCCTTGAAGAATTTGGACAAATTCCATTGAAATAGTTTTAAATTTTAAACTAGGGTAATTAAGTTATTTAAGTTTTAAAGCAATATATGAAACTTAATTATTTAAATGAAAATTGTTTTTTTTGAAGGCAATTAGACTTTGCTTTTCAAAAGGCTGGGTTTAATTATATGCTTTTAATATAAAATTGCATTTTTATTTATTTAATAGAATTATTTAATTTTATAGAATTTGAATAACATTATAATAAATACTGTTAACTGGTCAAATGTTCCTAATCTTTAAAATACAATTCCATTAAAACCATCACAAATTAATACCTAATGAAAAAATACTCCCAACTAATTGACTTTGAACAACCTTCTCCTTCAACCAATCCCCTCTTGCCGAATATCCCATTACCAATTCCTATAGCGAAGTTTTGGCCAAGAACAATTTGAGTTCTCTCAAATGTCGCACACCGAATGCCACATGCCAACGACAAGGCGAACAACCCGAAAAATTCCTCGGACTGCCAAGTAATTTTCAATATCAAATGAACTTGGCTTGGCTTTTCGATATCAAATGCATGGCTGTCATTATGCAATGGTTTTGTGTGCAGTTCTCACAAGTTCAGATATTCACCTCCGCCTCTTCTCTTCTCTTCATTTTTTTTTTTTTTACACATTTTGACACATTTACATAAGCTTAGTGGCACTCACCTCAGTCTTATAAAGTTTCCTATGGTCGAGTGGTATGGTATGGTATGGTATGGTATGGTATTGATATTGGATCTCCGGGTGCCCGTATCGCTCAAGTTGAATATCGATGCGACATGTGTTCGGTTATTAATTCGAAAGCCGTGTGATGGATCGCCCGGAAAGCAAGCAAAATAGGAGCGACCAACTGTCTCGTACACTTTTCGTTCCACTGAATTTATGACGGGATTGGGGGATCGGGGTATTGGAATTGGAATTGGAATCGAAATCAAAATCGAAATGGGTATGCGTATGGGAATGGGAGACGTTATCGCGGCGGGCGGCTTTCGGTTACACTTGGATATATTTGCACAATTTACAGATGTTTATGGCACTGCTGCACGGCCGTTTCGCTTTTCAAATAAATCACGCTTGTGTAAATATCTGATAGGGATGTTTCTTGTGGGCCCGCGTCGGCTACTGTTTTCTCTTCCGATATCTGTTCTGATTTCTGTTCTGAGTTCGGTTTTCCTTCGATAATTGTAGATGAAGTAGATTGAGTTCTTGTTGAAAATAGTGTTGCCGCATTCGAGGCGCACCTGGTCGGTAGATGTGGCTGCGGTCGTAATGCCGCGGCACATGACACCCTTGGATATTTGGGCTGCAGTGCGGATACGGATATGCGGATGCCGATGCGGATGCGGATGCGGTTGTGGATGCACCTGTCACCCGGCTGCTCCTTCGGCTGACGATTCGAAAATAATCCACATAGTTTTCAACTGCCACAACAACACACACTTCACTGGGGCATCTCCAGTATATCTGTTTCTCTAGCTGTATCTGTATCTGTAGCTGTATCTGTTTGTTGTACTTAATTCGTATTCACAGCTTTATTTGCTTTGGCTCTGGCTGTTCGGATTTCAGGGTTTCCCTTTACAACCCGTCAGTTGACATTCCACACACACCCAGCCGCAGAAGAAGCACACACTCGCGCACAACCTACTACTAAATGCCTCAATATCTTTTGCTTCCGCCACGCACTTGGGGTATCTCTTTAACGCGTCGCGAATTTCTGTCAGATACTTATTTGGAGGAGAATTTTCCTTGAAAGCTTTGCGTTGCGCCAAGTGATACAATTTGGCTTTCAGTTCAGTTCAGTTCAGTTCAGTTCAGTTCAGACGCAGACGCAAACGCAACCGCCGCCGCTCATTTCGCTATAGATTTAAACTCGATCAGCGCTGTTGAACGACTAACGCCTTTCTGTCTACCTCTACCTGATTCCGATACTTCAGATACTCGGCTCGGATACAGATACAGATACATTTGCACTCGGCCGACACACAGATACACCGATACACTTCGGCACGCTGCGAGAGAGATGGAGAGAGAGAGTGGGAGCGAGCGAGCGAGAGGGAGAAAGAGAGCGACCGCCAAGACAGAGAGAGAGAGAGAGGAGAACTCGAAAAGTTCGGGCTTTCGCCCCCATCTCCATTATCGTCATCATCGTCATTATCGCGATCATGATCACGCATCTCGTCTAGCGTTTCTGTCTCTGTTTCTGTTGCTCGGCTTCCCAGCCAGCGCGACGTCAAAATCTTCCTCGTTTTTCGCCGCTCTCTTGAGTGACCAATTACGTTCTCGTGCTCTGGGGTCTTGAGTGGCTCTAACCCCTCTCTCTTTCTCTCTCTGGGCAGCAACTCACTCGGCTCGAAGTTCTGAGCTTTTAGGTTTCAGATCTTCGGGATCACAAACTCAAAGCAGTCATTTTGAAAAACACAAGGATGGTACTTAAGGTTTTCGGGTTGTGGTGAAATGTTCTCCCTATGATTTTAGAAATTTAGGAAATACTTGGATCGTAGGTCGAAATAGTTCTGAGCTTTTAGTCTTACAATCGTCGGGATCCCGATCTCCAACTAGGCATTTTGAAAAACACAAAACGGGTAGTGGTAAAATGATCTCTTAAAAATTGCATAAACTAAAAAATACTAGGCGTAACTGTTCCGATAAAATATGTGGGGTTAAGAAAATCTAAAATGCACCAAAAACACATAAGCTACCTACTAATTTTCTTATTAATTGCATACATTATTATAGAAACTCTTTTTAAACGAAGAAAATGGCAAAATAAGTTAGAAACAAAAATTCCTTCAAGGCTATTAGAAAAATAATCTTTTAAATCGACAAGACTGCTCTCAAGCTATTTTATACCGAATACCAAGTAAACTATAAACATATAAAAAATGTAGAACAAACACTTTCTTTAATCAATTGTGGTTCTTTCGAATGTCAACAATATTAACGGAGTGTTTAAAACAAATGCTTTCATTTAAATCAACAATTGTTTTATGCAGACAATAGTGGTAAATTCATTATTTCGGAAGCTTACTTCCAATAGAAAAATATTTTATGTTGTACGAGATTTGAATGGAATTAATTTGTTCAAAAGTTGTTTATGACATATTTTTATCAGCGAAAATAAAGGAAACGAAAATCTAAATGAAAGCTATGCCTTAAAAGATAAATAAGCTTGACAACAACAGAAAAATGCTTTGTTTCAAAAAATACAAATGTTGAAGGCTGAGGGGTTACTAAATAAGAAAATCATCGCTGTTGAAGTTTATGTATGTGCCAGTGAAAACCCAAATAGAACTTGACGAGTTTAAGGAAATGTCTTACAAAAGTTTTTTTCAAGCTATTATTTTGTTCTCAAGAAAAAATTGAGAAAAGTGATATTTTAAGTTATAGAAAAGACAACCCCAAGCGCACAATTCCCACCTACTTACGTTTGACACTCCCGCGAATAAAGTATCCGAATGCAATCAACCGAGTCGGAGTCGTTTTGTTCACAGCCAGCGGAGTGGAGCATTTAGCTCGCGGGGATTCTCTGGTCGAGCTGCACGAGCGCAATGAGCCAAGTACGAAACCAAACTGTCTGCGCATTCCTGGAGCTGAACTGCTCCGAAGTCTGGTGCTGGGCCCTCAGCCTCAACCTCAGGTGAGATGAGATGTGCCAGCCAGCCAGGCAGCGATGGTATGAAATAATGACGATGATCGTGATCATGATCACCGATCCACCGCACATGCCATGGATCGCATAAGATCACTGCAAGTGCGAGCGAGAGCTCCCGATTTTCTGAGTATGTGTGTGCTTAGGTAACGAAATCCTTGGCAACAACACAAACACAAACAGAAAATGAAATCAAAAAGTCAGGAATTAGTATAATTTTATTGGTCGGAAGGCAAGAGGTAAAAAAAAGGGCAGCGTTGGCACCCATAAGAATGACACTTGCCAGCTCTTTCGCACTCAGCCACACAGATACTCAACACACACACCCACACACACACACACACACACACACACACACACACAGATACTCGGCTACTAAATGCATTTTAACTGCCTTTTGTTGTTGCACTTGTTGTTCGTTTGCTCGTTTGTTTGTTTGTTTGTGGAGATGAGTCTACGAGTCTTGTTCACCCGCGCATGCGCAGCCAACGTGACTCTGCCACAAAAGATTGCTGTTGCTGTTGCAGTTGCATTTGAGGCAGTTTTTGCTGCAGTTTTTACTAAACGAGCAGGTGCTGCAAACCAGCCAAGCAGACGTCGAATGTTGCAGATTGGTAGGTGGAGCTGGCCCAGCAACTCACACAAAGCCAAAAGGTTTTAAGACAAGACAAGGCTGCCAGTTGGAGTTCTTCTTGAAAGTTCTTTTCTGATACACTCAAAGTTCAATCGCTCTTAGAAAGATTATAAAAAACTTGTTTCTTGCTATTTCTAAAATTTTTAAATTCTCAAAGAATAGTTTATGGATAATTTCTTATACAACTAATTGGTAATATCTCATATTACTTTTTGTTATGTGTAAATGAGGTATTTCACAAACAGGAAATAGCTAAGAAATTTTTGAAAGCTGACATTTCTTTATATGAATTGATTTAATGTTTATGTTTATTATATGTTTATTTTTAAACTAAGCTTATTTTTTTTATAAAACAATACAAAATATAAATTCGATTGCCTATTGGCAGCAATAAGTCTTCAATTCAAACTATGTTCATTGATAATTTCATGTATGTTCTGATTGAGACAATACCAAACATTAAATCTACTATCTACTCACAATGCTTTCACAACTAATGTTTGGAAAATGTATTTAAAATAAGTCCCATAGGATATCTTTTTGTGTGATTGCCGACAATGAAGCTTAGCTGATGCGTATTTCCTATACAGATCCAGATCCCATTGAAGTCCGCTGGCGTCGTCTGGGCGAATCACTGACCAAATGGAGCGTTTACCAGACACTGTGGCTTTCGGTGACATCCAGACACACTCGATTCCCGATCCACACATGGACAACCAACTGGCGCCAAGGCTGCTTAAGTAGCCTTTGTTCCTGTCCAGTTCTTCACTTCTTCACTTGTCGCCGTCTGTCCGGCACTTGTGCTTGCCTACTTACAGCGAGCATCGAATTTCCCGGCTATTTCTCCGGTTCCCAAAAACCGGAAGATAATGCACTGGGGAAAATATTATTAAGCATACGAAAAATAGCTACTGACATTGGTTGCATGGAGAACAAACTATATGGCAAGATAGATAAATAAGTAAAACCAACTGGAAAATTTTCAAATAAATAAAAAGCACTCTTATAATAACTATTAATTTGATTTGCACTGATTAAGTAAACGAAGCATTTAAGGAATAGACATTAAGTAAACATTTATTGTAATTGGTATATTTTATATTTAATTGGAAATACTATGTAGGTATTTATACATTTTTCCTAAATCTATTATATTAACCCTTTTCTGTTTTGGTGTTTAAATTTATGAAAATAAATTGTTAGTGAATTCTAGAAAAGCGTCGTCGCTGTGGCTGCTTAACCCCATGATGCCCCACCTCCCCGCCGTGAATCATGCCCATTGGCGCAGAGAAAAACTCCACTCTGCAGACACAGATACAGATACAAATACAGATACAGATACATTCACAGATACCGAGAAGAAGGCGGGCTCCAAAGTTCGTGGAGATCCTTTTGTATGTTAATCGTCTGTCTGATTTGTCCGTCTTCGAGTCTTTGTGTCTTTGTGTGCTCTTTGAATCTGGTGTTCTTCTGATGGTTTTGCGTTGGTCTTGGTGCTGGTGTCGTTCTGTGCTCCTCCTTCGTTTCACTTGGTCTCTTTTCTCGCCTCTCTCGCTCTGCGACTGCATCCGGCAGATAAACAGATACAAATACAGATACAGATACATTTGCCCTCTGGAATGCCGGCTCTGCACTCCAGTCCACTCAACTTTAATGGCACTTAATTACCTTTCGCATGGTTTTGCTGCTTATCGGACCACCTGAAATCGAGTCCTTGAGCTGCTTATCGCCATTTGCCATCCCTGGCGCTACTTTCACTGGACCAACACGATCCGAAGTACGAAGTACGAAATCCGAAATACCAAATCCCAAATACGAAATCCATTATCAGCTGCAGTTCATTTATCAAGTGATCGTGTGTCATTTGTTAAAGGCGGCAAGGCAAGTGCCTGGCAAAAACATCTCGCAGCGCAAAAACTCCCCAGTTCTGGACGGGATGCTGCGAGACGGCTGTCTTCTGACCACATGCCAGGTCCTTGGGTCACAGCAGGATCAGGACCTTCATATCGATCTCGATCCCTTTTTTGGCATTCTGTTTTCCCTGCCACACAACGGGGGCGTGCGTCCTAATTGTCCTCGATGCGGATGGGAACTGCCAGGATGCGGGTTCTTTGGGTTGCCCAAAGATAGTTTAATCAAAGTCGAGATGGTAGGATATTTAAGTGTAAGGACTTTGACGCTCCAAGTAGGAAGGAAAAATGGCAAGGTAACTTACTTTAGGACTCATTTACTTTTATAAATATGCCCCCTCAAAATCTTATTGATTTGAATGTTTTTTACAAAATATTAAAACAGTTTTTTCCTTAGTTTCTGTACTAAAAAGTAAGGCCCTTTAATGTCCACCCGCCAAAAATACCTTGTTTTTGAGTAGAAGTTCATAGATCTTTAACTGAGGCTTTAATTCTTGTTTTTTTTTTAAATTATAGATCTTTAAATTATAAACAGCAGTTCTTCAAACTTTTTTATATACTGTATGTACATGTGTTGCACTTAAAAAGTGAAATATTTGCTTTGACACCATGTATTTTAATTGGGATTTATACTAATTACTTCCGATGTAGCTTAAATTAGTGCAATGCTTTCTCTCAACATTTTACTGGGTCCAAATGTATTTATCTATAA